GGTTGTCTTGTCCAACAGCCCTGCTGAAGCAGGATCAGCTAGTGCTGGCTGCCCTGACCATAGGTTTTGGAATATCTCTACAGGTGAAGATTCCACAACTTCTCTGGGCGATATATGCCAGTGTTTGACCACTCTTACAGAAAAGGGGGGTTTGGCCTGTTTGTTTTTCAGATAGATGTCTAAAGCATATGCCTTGGCAGCATCATTCTTTGGGTGTGGTGTTAAGATCTATACCATATAACCATCACACCTAGTACAGAAAGGGTGGGAATAAAGAGAATTAACAGGAAACAGAGTATGAACAGCTTTAAAATTAATTCACATGTAAATACTTAAATAAAAATCCTCTTTTAAAAGAACTGCATGTTGTGACAAGGCACAGAAACATCACAAACCCATAGTATCTCTGAGCTGTTAATGGGATTACATCACTCCATAAACACTTCCACCAAAAGGCAATATTTAGGTTCTATCTTAATATTCATGAATATTTCCTCCCCAACAGGCCATTTATACCTAAGAAAGAGAAAACACTCCCTCTGTAGCACGGTTAACCCCCCACACACCCCCAGACTTCTACTGCCTGAGACTCCCTGAGGATGGGGTCAGCAGGGAGCTGTTGAGTGTCCCTGCAGTGTCCCTGTCCCTGGCCAGCACAGCCTACAGTCCAAGGGCTTCCTTCCAGGGGCTGCCCCTGTGAGGAAAAGAACCTGCAGCTCTCCATCAAGGAGGATGTGAACTCGGCATCCTCCCAGTCCTTGGTACTGCTCCCAAAACCTTTCCAGGTCTGAGGAAAATGTGATTTTTCTGGGTAGTCAGGGAGGGCGTCACTCTTTCTGAAGTATTTCCTGCCAAGAGTGCTTTTAAAATATTTCCAGACATTTTTTCTGAAATAAACAACGGGAATAACATTTTCTTCCTACCATTGAAATCTCAGATTTTTTTTTTCAGCGTATTGACTTAACTGAGGACTATTTGTGTGCAGAAGTGCTGGGGCAGGGGAGGGCTGGAGATAGGGATGACGATACCTCTCTGAACTAAAGCAGTGGGGAGCATCCTGGTTGGAGTCTGGGATGTGCTGCATGGTCAGAGCCCAGGCTTAGATCAGGTGGGAGGCTCTTTGTGTCATCTAACGGTCCTCAGCTACTGTCCTTCTTCAAAACAGGAGGACCCCCATAAGCTCACAGATCAGCAGCAGGCACTAAATCAGGGTCAGAACCCCCTGCCCATCTACCTCTCTCTCAATGTGAAGGATAAAATCAGCGACCAGGATTTTAGAGGTAATAATACTCCAGAATTGTGTTTAACATTTAATTCCAAGAGGGGTCAATTTAGGATTAGATAAAGAAATCAATTCAGTGCACAAATACTCTAAAAGGCCAATCCACCTAAGAGTAGAAATTTAATAGTTACAATTTTGAAGGCCTTAATATATTGAGCAGTATTGAAGACCAATGAGGGAGGCCATTATTGGGAATTACCTGCTATGCATTTCTGTAAAAAGCTTCAGAAATCTAAAGTTTGTAGAGAAATTTAGATGTGAGAGGGCAATTCACTCTTCATGTTCACTCTGAAATGTACAGTGAATAAATGTCTGCTTGCAAAGGGTGTGAGAAACCAGTCTTGTCTTAACCTGCTCAATGTCTTCTTCTATTCAACTAATTTGTGCCTCTGGTCCTGTAATCAGTCTGTCTTGTGCTTTTTCTTTCAGAATGGGTGGAATTCACCCCTTATGAGGTAGGATTCCCAAAATATGGCGCCTTCATTCGTGCAGAAGATTTTGGTAGTGAGTTCTTCATGGGTCGCCTGATGAAGAAAATACCAGAATCCAGAATCTGCTTTTTGGAAGGTGATTTATTGCTCCAGGGAAATGTAACGTAACATAACACACTCCTGCACAAACTCCTTTTCTGAAATGAGGCAGCTAGGATATTTTTTTATCTTCCAGGAGCAGTATATGGTAAAATATTAGAGCTGATAATATAGATGCAGGATTTTTTTTTCTCTGCAATTTCATTCAGCTGAACACATCCTTTTGACTTCATATGTAGTTCTGCTTACAGACATGAGGCCTTTACAATACTTATATGTCTTTGTCAGCAACAGAAGTTGTGTAACATTGCCTCTAAATTAAATCATCAGTCTCTTCTGCAACCCAAGTCTCTAAAATACAGCTTTTTGTCTGCAATGCTCCTGCCACAGCTAGCCCTGATTGATCCTCCAGGATAATTTCAGAGTGCAAATATTTACCTTTTTTCCCTGTTGCATAAGAGCAGTAAATATAGTAAGGAAATTTTCTTTCCCTTTGTGAAAGCAATCTCTTGCCTCATTGTTTTTCCTACTTCTGCCAGTTGCATAAAGGAAGATTTGGGGTTTTTTTTTTGGTAAGTTAAGAATATTTGCTTGTGTAGATATTTCACTACAGCTCCTGGTGAGCTGTAAGGAAGCAAAACAGAATATCTCCATCCCTGGCCAAAACATCAAACACTGTACCCAGGTCTCTCCTTCTGTGGTCAGAAATGCCAGAGCTCCTGGTGAGCTGTAAGGAAGCAAATCAGAATATCTCCATCCCTGGCCAAAATGTCAAACACAGTACCCAGGTCTCTCCTCCTGTGGTCAGAAATCCCAACAGGTCACTAGTCACCTTCCTACACCT